AACACCACAGCGACCGGCCGCTCTGAGACAGGAGGAGAGAGACGGGGCGGGGGAGAGGGGACGATTCGGCCTGAGCCTCAGAGACTCACTAGCCAAGCCCATCTCCATTCCCCGGGGTCAGGCATTGGCCCTGCTGTCCTGGCCAGACCCCAATTCTGCCCCCTGCAGTTACCAGTGGTGACAGAACCCTGTTCACTTCCTGTCCTAAACGGCTGTGCAGTGCGGCTGTGAAATAGCTATTGTGCTGCGCCCCAGATATAGCTGCATTTGTACTCCAGGCAAGGGGGCCATGTATAACCAGCCCCTGTGCTCCACCCCAGAGGTGGCTGCATCTCAGCGAGCAGGGAGCGGTGTCCAGCCTCACCTTGCCTCTCCAGAGACTCTCTCCCGTACAGGACAAACATATTGAGCAGATAGATGCAAGTTATTCTAAAAAAAAACTGAAGCCTGGTGGACGCGCTCTTATCCCAGTTGAGAAGGTCCCGGGCGTTGAGCGCCAGCTTATCCTCCGACCGAGCGACCCAGGTGCCCACATCCACGTTGAAGCTCACGACGTCCTCGCCATTCCCCGCGGTGTCATAGAATCCCCTCGAGGTGCCGTTGGGGGTCAGCTCGCAGCCGAGGGAGCCCTGGGTAACAAAGGGGTCTGGAACAGGAAGGGCAGGGGGATGAGGACGGGCGTCCGGAGATTACCGGGGGGCAGAAATAGAGAAATGGGGCAATAAAGGCGCATGATAGGTGCAATGAGGACGTTTGGCCACAAGATGGCGGCAGGATTGTGGGGCGCCTCTGGCTGGAGTGAAGCCAGCCCGTTTCTGTTTAAAGCTGATTGTTCGAAGTGCTCTGAGGTTCATGTGCACAGTCAGATGGGCTCGAAAATCGCTGCGTTACATCGGGGCCTGAGGCAGAGTTTGTGGTGCAAATTTGGGGCCCCTTGGTCACGGGGTTCCTGAGATACAGACCCCCCAAATGACCTGCTTTTCAAAGGCTCAGGGTACGTCAGGAAAGACCAGGAGCCTCGACTCAGGGAGTCGGACACGGGGCCTTTCCCCTCTAGGAAGCGCAGGCTACAATCTGGCCCCAGAGCTGGTGTTTCCCCTCTGGGGGACGCCGGCTCCAATCAGCCAAAGGGCCAGGGCCAGGTGAGTGTGTCAGTTCTCAGCACCCCGGGTGGGCGGGAGAAGGGATCCCCTCAGACCGCTCCATACTCACAGCCCTTTCCCTGCTGCTGGGCTATTGTGTTCACGGTAAGGATGAAGTCGGACAGGGAGCGATGGATCACCAGCTCCAGGTCCTGCCACTGCTTCGGGGTCAGGCCCTGCTGGGCCCAGGGCTGCAGGAAGCGGATCTCGCAGGTGCTGCAGTTCAGGGAGTGGGTCTCCAGGTCGCCCAGCAGGGCCTTCACCTGTATGTGCGCAGAGCTGGCGTCCGGGAACAGGGCGGTGAGGAGCACCCGGAGGGTGACAGTCCCTGGGGGGACCGGAGGGAAGGCTGCGGAGGAGGAAGTAACAGAAAACAAGTGGAGAACAAAGTGGGTGGGGAGAGACATTAATGCATCTCCCTGCTGACCCCTAACCCGTCTCCCCCCTCCTCCTACACCCCCAGCAAGGGTCACTAACACAGCACAGTGCTGTCCCCCGCACCCCGCAGCCCTGGCTTTACACCATCCCCTCCCCCCCAGTAGCAAAAACTGTGGGGGGGTCCCCACTTACCGGCCAGGGCCCCCCATGCCCAGGGCAGGAGCAGCAGAGGGAGCAGCATCCCGGCAGGGGAAGGAGATCCGGGCATCAGGGCAGTGGGACGAAGGGTCCGGAGTCACCCATTTACTCTCGGTTCTGCCCCAGGGCACACGCCTCTCTGCCAAATTCTCTCTGTCTGTGTCTGCGCAGACCTGTCCCCACAGCTGCCAGCCCCGAGCCAATCAGGGCAGAGTGAGTCAGGGAGCGGGGGCAGCGCAGGAGGGGGATCCCCGGCAGCAAGATCAGAACCAGGCCCTGTCCCACAGTCAGTGTGTGCGATGCCCCCTCCATCTCCTCCGGCCTGGGGTACCACTTTTCCCAGCACAGCCCCTCGCACCGCCCTGGGGCAATGGGGAGCCCTGACTGCCCGGGGAGAGCCCCCTGCTGCCCCCCGCGCCGCCCCCTGCAGCACAGCCCCTAGCACCGCCGTAGGCAGGGCCGGCTTTAACAAGTGCGGGGCCCGATTCCTGGGGCAGCACTTCGAATTGCCAGCTGGGGAAGGGGAGCCGCGGGGCTGCCACGCTACGGCCGGAGCTCCAGCCAGGAGAGCGGGGCCGCGGGTTTTGCCGTGCTCTGGCCGGAGTCATGGGGCCGCGGGGCTGCCGCGCTACGGCCGGAGCTCTGGCCAGGGGAGCGGGGCCCCCGAAGACGACTGCCGCTGGGGTGAGTGCGCGGGCCCCGATTCCGGGGAATCAGGCGAATCAGCCTAAAGCCGTCCCTGGCCCTGAGGCAGTGGGGCAGACCTCACTGCCCGGGGACAGCGCCCCCCCACTCAGAGCCAGGTTCACCCTCAGGCAAACTAGGCAGAGGGGGGACCCATAATTCCAGGCCAAAGTCCTGCTCCTCACCCCGCCAAGGGGCCCCTCGCCCGCAGCAGCAGCTCCAGCCCCAGCCCTTGCACCCCGAACATGGGGGAGAGATTTGAGGGGGGGAGAGAGCCCATCCCCTTCACCCCACGGGGAGCCACATGGGCTTGACCTGAGAGGCGAAGGGACCCGGGTGTGGGGGACAAGACAAAGCGGAGGGGAAGGCAGAGCCCCCCCGAATCTGCCCCCTCCATCCCAATGGCCCCTCCCCCTCCCAATAGCCCCTCCTTCTCCTGTCCCCCTCCTGTTCATTAGCCCCTCCCATTATGTGGCCCCGCCTCCCTGTTTTCCTCCCACAGCTCTGCCACTCCTGGGCTCCTCCCTTTCCGTCGCCGCCTCAGCTGGCCCAGCCAATCAGAAGGCATCACCGGGTGTCGGCGTCACTCATTGCCGGGCAGAGTCAGCAGGAGCAGTGCGAGGGAAAAGGGGGAAGGAGCCCAAAAGCAGCGCGAGGGGGGAGGAGCCACCGGTCACCTGCGGGAGGGGGAGGGGCCCAGCTGTCACCCTGAGTGCTGGGCTGTGGACAGGCTGGTTTGTTATTGTAGGGTCGCTGGGGAGCGCTGGGGCTGTGGACAGGCTGGGTGATTATTGTAGGGTCGCTGGGGAGCGCTGGGCTGTGGACAGGCTGGGTGGTTATTGCAGGGCTGCTGGGGAGCGCTGGGCTGCGGACTGGCTGGGTTGTTATTGTAGGGTCGCTGGGGAGCGCTGGGCTGTGGACAGGCTGGGTGGTTATTGTAGGGTCGCTGGGGAGCGCTGGGCTGTGGACAGGCTGGGTGGTTATTGTAGGGTTGATGGGGAGCGCTGGGCTGTGGACAGGCTGGGTGGTTATTGTAGGGTTGCTGGGGAGCGCTGGGCTGTGGACAGGCTGGGTGGTTATTGTAGGGTTGCTGGGGAGCGCTGGGCTGTGTACAGGCTGGGTTGTTATTGTAGGGTCGCTGGGGAGCGCTGGACTGTGGACAGGCTGGGTGGTTATTGTAGGGTTGCTGGCAGTGCTGGGCTGCCTCACGCTGGTCTCATGATTACAGAGACATGCAATGACAATCCCCAGTTGATTACGGGTGAAAATCGCCGCCTGGTGGGAGGGACCCCATATCAGGTGCGGCTGTTCTGGGGGCGCAGGGAGTTCACTGTGCAGGGGGAGGCCCCTGCTTGGTTTCCCCCACTTGGCCCCGGCGGAGATGCTGCTTTTCCAGAGAGAATCTCCCGCAAATTCGTCCTCGGGTGTTGGGCTCTTCTGTCAACTTAGCGATTTTGTCACTAGATTTAGTGACATTTCGTATCAGGGTAGCCATGTTAGTCTGTATCTACAAAAACAACAAGGAGTCTGGTGGCACCTTAAAGACTAACAGATTTATTTGGGCATAAGCAAGAAGTGAGGTTTTTACCCACGAAAGCTTATGCCCAAATAAATCTGTTAGTCTTTAAGATGCCACCGGACTCCTTAGTGACTTTTCAGTTTCTCTAGCGAGGAATTAGGTGTCAAATTGACACGGGACAGATCTAGCGACTTTCCCTTCCAATTACAGTGATAGTCAGAGACAGGCGTCACCAATTTGTCTAGTCACTAAATCATCCCCCAGCAGCTCAATGGCGTTCATGAAATCCATTCCTCTGTGTCACTGCATCTCCCTCGGGCATGGCCTCGGAAGGACACACATTCCTGGGCTTCTTGGCAGGGCGGCTGGGGCTGGGTCTGACTCCCGCTCCTGGGGGCCGCAGAAACGGGGGCTCAGCCTCGAGTCCTTGGGGTGGGGAGGGGGGTGAAAAGCCAGAGCTAACGGCGAGGAGAGGCTGGAAGAGGGGAAAACACAACTGCCCTTAGGAGGAAAAGTTATGATCTTAAAACCATTTGTGACACGGGCAGGCGCCGCTCCCTGGGCGAGGGTGAGGCAGGAAAAACCATTTGTCAACAGAGCTTTGAGCCTTTGGCCACTGGAATGTTACCGAACCAAAATCCCGCTCCCAGGAGGGGGAAGCCGGCCTGTCTAGTTGGGTGAGTCCTTGGGTCTCTGCTGGGCCTGCCCCGGGACTAGCTTGTGCCCCCCCCTGCCCGGGCCGAGGACACTCCCAGCTGCTGTTCAGAAAGCAGCACCCATGCTGGGCGCTCCCTTTCCGGACGGGTAGTCTTGGCAGCTGAGTTTATTTGATCATTGACTGGCTCCATTGGTGTCTCTCAGCTGGTAGGGGCTGGCAAAGGGTGTCTGGCTGTCCTGGTTACATGAGGCAGGGCTGGGGTCCCCCCACTTCTTAACCTGGCATTTGGCTACCCCTCCAGCCCTCCCTTCGGAGCTCTGCTCCCTGGCGGCGCGGCCCAGATTCCCTTGGCCCCAGTGGGGATGAACTGCCCCAGGCAAAGTGAACCTGCCTCCCCCGGAGCAGATGTTGCCTTGACAAAAGGCTCCGGTGGAAATCGCTCCGCGCTGCCCAAGAGGGGCCGTTTGTTCTCTCCAGCCATAGAAAAGGTTATTCTTTGTGCTCATCAAATCCCACCAGTGGGTCACCCCTCCCCTGAATCCTAGGGTTCAGCTCCCAGCCAGCACTCCCCCAAACCGTGCCTGCGATGGCCGGGGCTTTGCTGCAAGTGCTGGCTCTGCACTCTCTGAACTTCCCGTCGATTCTCTCCGTCGGCAGGCCGGTGCGCGCATTTTGTCTGCCTGGGGTGCAGTTGTCTGGGGAGGAAGGAGGTTGGGAGGGAGGGAAGGGATCAGATGGGAGCTGCGTGTGTCTAGACAGCTCCAGTGACTGCTGGCCTGGTAGGGACCTTTGCTTCTGCATGAGATTCACTGCGGGGAAACTGGAGCACGGGACTGAACCCTTTGCAGGGCCTGCCCAGCATCGCGGCGGCTTTTGTGTTCAGCAGGTGTCCTCTGGCCCGGGCAGAGACACGCCGCTAATTCTCGGCTGAATCCTGTACACGTTTTGTTTAGTGACATTTATGATGCCGTTTTGAATGCTTAAATAGCACCATCTAGTGACTTTTCAGGGTGTCTCTGGCGACTTCCTGCCATGTGGAGTTGGCAGCTCCAAGCACCAGCCCCGGGACTACGCCCATCGCTCTGGGGCTGGGCACCCCCAGCCCAAGGGCCAGTCAGCACCGGGTCTGGGCAGCATCACCAGTCGCCAGGCAGAGCCGGCCCCAGCAGGGCTTGGTTCCAGACTTCTCCCTCGTAGGGTCTGGGGTGGGGCTGCAGGACTCGCCCGGCGCCTGCCATGGCCCCACTGAGGCCCCCAGAGCAGCTGGGATGACGCTGGAGAGCGGGGCCAGCCCAGGGCCAGCCGCTCCATAACAGGGCACAGCAAAGTGCCTGGGCTGCTCCATCTGCTTGGCCTCCTGCCCCAAACCCCTCGCTGCTGGGGGGAGATAGGCCGGGGGTGGGGGGATCACTCAGCTTTGTCTCAGTAAATTTAGTCCTAGTGAAAGGTTCAGGGCTGGCGTCTCAGGGAAAAGATCTGAACTCCCCCTTCCCATGGGCCTGAGCCCTGCCCCCCGGGCACCCCACCAGAGCGGGGGCTCAGTCTCCGTGGGTCAGTCACAGCTCGGCCTCCCAGGCTGCTCCCACCATCGATCTCCCTAAGGGTCTTTTCAGGCCCCCCAGTCTCTAAGCCCCTCCCCCTCTCTGCTGCATTCACCCTCCCGCACCCACCCCCTGTGGGGCAGGGGCGGGCCATTGTCCCCATGGTCCAGCTGGGGAGGGAGGCCCAGAGAATTCAATGACTGGCCCAGGGTCACACATGGAGTCGCTGGCAGAGCCGGGAATTGGCCCCTGGGATCCCGTCTCAGACGCCAGCCCCTGAGCTCCTGGGTTATCTCCTCTCTGGACCCCTCTGTGACAGCTCCCCAGGTGTGGTGCATTGGCCCAGCCTTGGACATGGGTCTGGGAGGACCCGTTTGGAGTGTCAGACACCCCCGCCCTCTCCCGCCCGGGTCCCCCGGCCTCCTTGGGACAAACCTCGGAGCCGTTAGCACCCCTGCCCCACACTGTGAGCTTCCTTCAGCGAGTCCCCCTGGGCTGGGCACCTCTGAGAAACGTGTACCCCAAAGGGGGCAATGCCCCCCCCCAGCATGGGCAGGGACTCAGGCAACCTGTCAAAGCGGCCGGGTTTATGAGGTGATTGGCACACGGTATGGGAAGCCCTCAGGCCAGCACAGAGAAATGGGGTACAGCAGAGTTCCTTTGGGGGTCTCCCAGCCCCAGCAAAGCCGTGTAGACCCCTTGGCTCCTGCTTTGGGCCTCTTTGTCCCCTGTCCCCCTCTTTGTCTCTAGTTCCCGGGTGAGCTCACCACCCACCCGGCCCCTCCTCAGTCCGTGTTCTTGGCCAGGGGAATGGGGCGCAACTCCCTTGCTGAGAGGCAGGAAGTCCACACGCTCTGCGCCATTTGGTCTCTGCAAAGAGTAAACAGCCTTTCCCCCACACCTAGCGAACAATGCAGCATATAGGGGAAACCGAGGCACACACAGTATTCATACAAAATATTACAGACAATTCCCACTCCATCCCGCAAACAGCCGATTGGAGCTGGCACCCCTAGGAGGGTAATGTCCCTGGGAGGGCCCCTTCAGGGTGCCAGACCCTCTTAGTGTCTCTCTCTCTGACAAGAGCAAGTGACATGACTTCACCACCTCCTGGAACCGAACCTCGGAGCCGTCAGCACCCTGCTTCACGCCATGAGCTCCCTGCAGCAAGTCCACCTGGGTGGGATGTTTTGCTTATAAGAAGCACACGGGCTCTTTTTCAGGGGAAAAGGCAACACGCCACGTTTATTGGAAATACAACAATTAGCATATGCGTTCAATCACACACACACACTGTCCTGCCAGTCGATGTCATAGTTACCAGTCCAGATCAATCTAGTGGCCAGCTCGGTTGATTATGGGTAGGGAGGAGCCGGGTTCTGTCGGTCTTGGCAGGACGAACCCAAAGTTTCATGGCAAAGCCCCCTGTTTATATAGTGATCTTACTTCATTGGGACCAACGAGTTCTGCACCCTCATGCTGAATTGTCCTTTGACAAGTGCTTCTTTTCTTAAATTGTTTTTCTCATCCTTTATCTTATCCTTTATCCACTTATCTTCTAACTCACACATTCCTTATTCACACACAGAACAGGATTGATTTACACAGAGCATTTGAATAGGAACATCAAATTGCAATGCAGGAGAAAACAATCATGGCATTCTTTTACTTATTTCAAAATGCTAAACCTATAACAAAGTGGTGATGTCCCTAAAGGTCTGTTACTGCCTTGAAATCAGCTTCAGACACAAGATTCTGGCTGATGCATCTTTACCAATGGCCCATTCGGCCCATTCCTTCCTGCTTTCAGAAAGGGTGGCTGGCAGAATATGGTGAAATCATACACCAGTGCATTTAATAAATGCTGCATTATTATTCTTTATCCTTCATTCTCAATTATACAAAGTACAAGCGTAAAATCCTCCTACTACAAGGACACCGAGAGCCTTGTGCACTCAAAGGGAGTGCTGCCCTGCCGACAACATCTGCAGGGACTCAGCCAGCGTGGGGCAGCGGAAGGGTTTGTTAGCTGGCTGCACTGCAGCGTACACAGCCCTTGGTTAGCGCAGAGAGCAGAGTTTCAGCCTGGTCAGCCCAGAGCCCTCTGACCCCTCCTTTTCCCAGCTCAGGAGAGAGCCCCAGCTTCCAGCCCTCCACACTTCACACACACACACCCCTGACCTGGCCCCTCCTCAGCCCTTTGTTCCCCCACTGGGCATACCCGGCAGGCTTCCTGCTGAGGGGTCAGCCACCCATGGTCGTTAGTTGCCGGGTACCAAAGGTCCAGGCAATTGAAGTGGCAATTATCTTCTCAGACTCTCCATGGACATGGGGCCCAGGCCCCACAGCTGGCATCTGTCACCTCTGGGTCTCTGCAGAGTATACAACCTTTCCCTGCCACCTTGTTAACCGTGTAGCACGTTGGGGTAACGGAGTATTCGTTCAAAATAGTTGAACGAATTCCCATTCTGGGAAATTTCCCGTTCTGTGACAGCTCCCAAATGTCCAACATGCCCCGAACGTCTCAGAGGAAGGAAATCCCAACCCCCCAGCCCAGGCCCCGATCTCTCAGCACTCCAAACCAGATCAGCCCTCGGGGCCCTGAGCTCTGGAGCCGGGCACAGATCCAGCCCCAAGGTCCATGTCCCCAGGAGAGGGGCTGATCCCCACGCCTGGGCCGGTGCCATCCCCTCAGGGCCTGGACTCCCCTGGTCTAATGTCCTGGTAGCCCCTGGAAGGAGAGAGCAGAGGGGATGGGTTAGGGGGTGCAACGGCCCCACCCCCACCCCAGAGAGGGAGAGGACTCACCTGCGTCTGCTCCGCCACAGCACCACGGCCACGGCGGCTACAGCCAGAGCCCCCAGGGTGATGCCCACTGCCAGGCCAGGGCCCCAGGGCCTGCTCTGCTCTGTAACACAGGGGGTGCCGTGCTGGGAACGGGGACAGGAGTATGGGCCCTGTTCCCTCAGCCTCCCCCACAGTCCACCCCGGTCATCTCAACCGACCCACTGCCCTCAGCCCCCCCGACCCTGTTCCCTCAGCCTCTCCCGCAGTCCCCTCTACTGCCACCACCCGTGACCCACTGGGAATGGACACAGGAATATGGACCCTGTTCCCTCAGCCGCCCCTGCAGTCCCACCTGGTCCTCCCACAGTCCCACCCCCTCAGCCTCCCTCTGCTCCAGTGCTGCTCCCCTCTAGACCCCTGCCCCTCTCCCTAACCACCGCAAGCCCTCCCCAGCCCTGCCTCTCTTGGCTCCACCCAGTCCACTCCACACAGATCTCTCCCCCCACCCCATTCATGCTCCCCTCAGCCCCCAGCCTGCTCCCTCCATCCAGGTCCTGTCATGTCCCCCCTCAGCTCCTCCATCCTGCTCCCCCTGGTCCATCCCCACAACCCCCCACCCACCTCCTCTGCTTCCCTGCACCCCTATCTCGCTGCCTGGACCACCCCTGTCCCACTCAGGACGTGCAGGAAAAGCCCCCAGAGACCACGACCACCCCTCCCCGGGGACGTG